TACTGCATAGTATTCTAAAAACTAACATTGAGTAAAAGCAGAATTAATCAAGGTGCTAAAACATTAATTTGGCTTACTTAGGCAATCTAGTTAGATACCTGAGCAAATGGATGAGATTCACTAAAAGCTGAAATCTAAATAGGTTATTGCCAGTCTCCCTAAGGAAGTTAACATATTTATTTTACCTTTCACATATACAAAATGAACTTTTTACCCATCTTTTTTTTTAAAGACAGTATTTGCATCATCATAACTCCTGCAGTTACATTTTACTTGAATTATTGTTCCAAATAGAGATTGTGAAAAACCACAAATATCAGGAAATTTTCCTTTTTGGTAACAAAGTAATAGGTAGTCATTTTGCATTAACTTTAATAAAACAATAATAGATTGAAAAACTATGTTGTGCGTTCTATGGCAGGTGGAGGAAAACGTAACTATTTCAGGGAATGACAATACATGAGCCCCTCAAGAGTAGGGACTCTGTTACAGGAGTCTTTCCAGATCTTCACCTTACCTTTCTGGCCACTCCCCTTTAGTCTCCTTGGGTTCTTCCACCACATCCTCTTTCTAATATAAGATATCTATGTACCCCAGGGTTCCATCCTTAACCCTCTTCTCACTCCACATAATCTCCCTGGAGAAAATCATTCACATTTTAACTTCAGTTGCTGAATGCTTGACCCAAATGTCTATCTTCAGCTCAGACTTCTTTCTTTAGTTCCAGACCTACATGTCCACTACTCCTTACAGGACATCCCAACTTAGATGACAGGCGTTTCAAGCATTAATGTTCAAAACTGAACCCATCATCTAGCCCATCTCCTACACTCCTCAAAATGAAAAAGAAAAAGACCTCTTTCCTTCTTTTGTGTTCTAGATTTCAACAACCAGCAGAACAATCCCCTCTATCAGCTGGGAGTCATCCCTGGCTTCTCCCTCTTCTTTACCTGCTACAACACCGAGACCCGTCAATACTACCTCTCAGCGGCCCCCTCCCCGCATTCCCACCACCACTGCCTTAGTTATCTCATTTCACCATGGAATTACTGCAAAATCTCCAATTTTGTTTTTTCTGCCTCTAATGTTGGCTTTCCATCCATCCGTCTTTCACATGCTGCCAGTGATCCCTTTCAAATGCAAAAGTGATTGTGACCCCAATCCTTCTCACTACCTCCAGCATAAAAACCTCACTCCTTAGGTTCTTTCTGATTTAGCCTCTATTTGTCTCTCCAGCCTCACTTCCTTCCACTCTCTTCTAAGTTTTCTCTGCTCTGGCCACAATGAACTACTACTAAGAGCTGTCCTTTCTTGCTTCTGTGTCTTTGCCCAAGCTGTTCCTCTGCCTAGGAAGCCCTCCTGCCCTCACACACAATCCATCCAGTCATTTCCTATTCCCTTACGAACCGAATAGCAACTCCAACACCCAGGAAGTACCTAACACACTCGGGATGCTCAATAAATGTTTGCTGTATGCCTGAATCAATAACCCTTTACAGTAAGAAATTCCTTACAATACACAAGATATTTTCATTCCTATCTATAAACACATTTATTTTGATTCTCACAACTCAACTATTAGACAACCACTGCAAGTTTTATTATCCCCAGTTATCAATGAGGAAATAGTAGCTCATGACTTTCCAAGGTGGCATAGCTAGAAATTAATGCAATCATCCCTAAAGGCTTGTCCTCATTCTATTATGATCCTACTTAGATTATCAGGTATACTCTGAAAACCCACTATGAGCTAAAAGGAATAGAGAAGCCTAAGTCAAGGACTCAGCTCCTAAAATGTTTAATCCAATCAGAGGCACAAGATGCATATGCATAAAATGAGAGAAAACTCTAGAAGAAAGTATAGTATAGGGCAAGGTGCCAAACTGTGCAGTGCCCCCAGAAGGAGAGAGAAGTGCATTTAGTGGGCATTAGCCTAATCCTAGAAAACTTTCCAGAAAGGTGGGAGAGGGCACCATGGTCCTGCAGCCTGATTATACAATGAATGAGTAAAAGGGTTGAGAGGTGGGCATTCCTTGAGTCCAACAATTTGAATGTAGACCATGCCAGATCTGGACGACAAAGAGGAAACAGCAAAAATGGAAATTTAATTGTTTTCTACCTTTGACTGAACTTAAGAGTTGTAGAAAGTAACAGAGAGAGGAAAAAGTACCCTCATTCTGGTAAAATAAAAAACAAACAAAAATCCAAAAACAAAAAGAAAACTTCTTCCAGCTTATGACAGTAAGGCTGGAAACAGAAATAACACATTCATTGGCTTTTTTTTTTAATCATCCTACTTGCATTAAATAATGTTAATGTCCTACTAGTTATTTTTACTTTGAATTCTGATATGGCCAAAAGATTTAAAAAAGAAAAAGAAAGGCTACAGCTGTCTTTTCATTGCTACCTTGTTCTTCTCTGGTGATAGTGCTTTAGTTTGCTACATTTAGGTAAGCATCAGCAAAGTAAACAATAATGTAACTATTCTAACCAGTGATGAGCTTGGAAATTTTTTTTTTTTTAAATCAGGACTTTGTTTTTCACTTGACCACCAAAAACATCCTGAACGTGCCAGTGAAAAGAAATAGAAAATATAGTGGTAGAAAACCCCAAAAAGAGACAACCAGCACCTTTACCATCCATCTCAACCTCTATCCCATTAGCAACTTTCTGACCTCAGGATATTTCCTCCAATAATAAAGCATATCCCTTTATCCAAAGTAATTTTTCTAAAGCTCTTCCCATTCATTCAATAGACATTTAACAAGTTCATTATACTGGGTGCCTGCAGGGAGAAAGAGAAACTGAGTATTGTCCCTGCCTTAGACATTTTAGTGCTTTTCCCTCCCACTGCTTCCATCCCACAACCAGTCATTTCTTCCATAAGTACACTATCCCCTAAAATCAAATGTTGCTTTTCACAGTTGCCAAAGTCACCTATTACCCGAAATATGTCAATGCAAGACTTCCTCAATGTCAACTTCACAGCTACGGATAAAATCATTCTTCTATACTACTATAAAGTATTTCACAAATACATAGCTCTATTTTTTTCAACCTTAAACTGTGTGCAGCTACCAAATTCTTGAGTCCTTATTACTTTAGCATGGAGATCTTTATTACTTTAGCATGGAGATCTGCAACGTGGTTTCTTTCTTCTGTTCTTTTTAAACACAAATGCCTAATCCTTTGCTGTTTGGGAAATTTTTGTGTGTGTGTGTGAGGAAGATCAGCCCTGAGCTAACATCCATGCCAATCCTCCTCTTTTTGTTGAGGAAGACTGGCCCTGAGCTAACATCTATTGCCAATCCTCCTCCTTTTTTTTTCCCCAAAGCCCCAGTAGACAGTTGCATGTCATAGTTGCACATCCTTCTAGTTGCTGTATGTGGGACGCGGCCTCAGCACGGCCAGAGAAGCAGTGCGTCAGTGCCAGTGCGCGCCGGGGATCCGAACCCAGGCCGCCAATAGCGGAGCGCTCACATTTAACCGCTAAGCCACGGGGCCGGCCCTGTTTGGGAAAATTTAACCCATCTCTTTTTTGTGTTAATAAATGCTAGGTTTTTATCACTATCTTGTCACTTTTGATTATGATATTACTAATGAGCATCACTATGTTTGTTCCTTGGATGAAAAGACCAATTCATGATTTTGCTAATAATATGAAAACTAGAATCTAAAAATGTTGTACAAAGTAGTGTTGCTCTTAGACACTTTCTGTCTAAAAATGCATGTTTCAGAAACAGATAGTTAAGGTACCATGAAGTGTTTACCTTCCGACCTGAATTTATTACTTTAATATTTTAGCTTATGAATTTATGGGTTCTGTATATATCACACTGCTTGTCAATATACACACACAAACCTTCTTGCTTGGGCAATTAATCTGGAAAAGTTTCCCTACAGTCTGAGAGAGGAAAGCTTAATTTGGTGGAATATAATAAATGTCCGTTTCCATCACAGAATATATGCTTCTCAGGTTCAATTAACCTCTGAATGATTCTCTAAGAGGAAAGTAATTCTCCTTGGTGTCCTTGTCATCTACGCAGTGGAAATCTCTCTAGTGGCAAAAGAATGAGTAATCACTTACATGACCCAAAAAGGGCTCCTTTTCATCTCCCTTAAGTACTGTCGAGAGCAGCGAGAGGAATTGATGGAGGGGGCCATAATCTCCAGACGTGAGGACAGAAATCAAGCATGCAGTTTTCCTCCCACCTGCGCGTTCATGCTCCTTTTTCTTCTTTCCTTCTCCATTTTACTCTCCTTACAGCTCGTTTTTCTTAACCTATGACACTCTCCTGGCTGTTTGAATTTTTACAACCTACCAGATAAAATCCCTTGTGATCCTCAAAGCTTCCTTAAAGCACAATCTGCATCAGTGTTTTAAAAGCCAGTATTATGAAAGACTATGGTGTGGGATAACGCTACATTTGTTTAACAGCACTACAAAGTTTTGGTAAAAAACCTGCGGGCTGATTCCATAACTTAACCGAAAACCGGGAGGATTGAAACAAACGAAACAGACAAAAAAAACTAACCCAACCGGCAAGATCCGACCCGGGCCCGCGGCCTGAAAAGTGATACTTGGGATGACAGAGCACTGCAGGGAAAAGGAGTTCTCGGGGCTTCAGGACTCAAGAGCACGCTTGGCCCCGGGCTGACCACTGCTTCCCGCAAACGTGGCACGGCTGACCCCCTCCCGCCGCCGCGGGACCCCCGGCGGGACG